TAAATTACAGTATGACATATTTGATATATAGTAAGAACCGGTGTAAATGCCACAATGTACCACTATACAATTTACCTAGAACAATGTACACAATATACCAACAACAACAATAAAGGAAAAAAAGAATGAATATAGAATTTTTAAACCTGTTGAAACCACGTTAAGAAGGGGACTAAAGTAGAAAGAAAAATAGAGGTGATGAATCAATTCAGTTTATAATACATATATGCATAGAAATGTCACAAGAAAACTCCCTGTGTAGCTATCTTAAACAAACAAAAATGCCTTTGATTTTCTTTTGCAAAATCAGAGAACAGGAGGGCAGAACAGCACCTGCTTGGGGGAGTTGGTACCAGTGTGAGGGGGGAGGATGTAAGGAAAGGGAGTAGGAGAGTGAATATGGTGCAAATAATGTATACGCATGTATGTAAATGGAAAAATGATACCTGTTGAAACTATTCCAGTAATGGGGGTAAGGTGGAGAAAGGAGAATGGTGGAGGAGGTGAATTCAAGTATGATATATTGTAAGAACATTTGTAAATGCTAAAATGTACCCCCACCCAGCACAATAATAAAAAGAAAAAAGAAAACAAAGAAAATAGAGCACAGTATCTGGCACATAGTCCCCCCATATGTAATTGTTGAAAGAATGAAAGGACTTTTTTGATTCTCTAATACTAGAGAGCACTTATGTTATTTCCTCATTTTCACAATTCCTGTAGGTATATTTTATAACCAGTGAGTAATCTACCAAGCAATAGATGAAAACAGAATAATGATGCGAATTTCCCATAAAGTTAAATATTTATCTTATGTTTATATATATATCCACCCATAAGTTCAATTATGCATTTAATGTTGAGTATATTGACTGTTTGTGATTAACTGGAACATCACGGGAAAGCAGTTATTATTATTTTGATAATTTGAAACTTTGCTAGTACACACATTGAAACCGTATTTGGTGGAAGAAAATGTATGGAAGCAGGCCTGTTAGATAATGAGGGAGAAGTCACAAATCAGTCTGTTTTTTTAATTCATTCCTGTCCTCATCTAAAGAGTAATGTTTATTTTATAACATTTAGTAAAATTGAGTTTTACAGTTAAAATTTTCATTAATTTGGTGATTAATGAATGCTTAGGAATGCTGAAGATTCAATAAGTTTTCTCTAAATTTGTAACTTATTATGAGTAAAATATGTCAACCTGCTACAACTGAACATTTTGGTGAGACTATCATGCATATGTGATATTTCATATGTGTTTGGGCAAGTTGTTTACTGTCTATGGGATTTGTTTTCTCCTCTGTGAAATAATTAATCAGGACAAGATTACTAAAGTATTTAAAACTATTAATATTTTATTATTAATTATTAACTACCTTAAATGTTTTAGATTATTGTTCACCAAATATTAATGCCTCTCCTCTTTCCATTGTAGGAAGAGACTATTTTCTCTTCTATGATGAAAGCTGGACCTGGTGGTGCACATCTGTAATCCCAGCTCTTGGGATGGAGAGGCGGTGGATCACAATTTCAACCTTTTGAGAACAGTCTGAGTTACATACCAGAACCTATCTCCAAAAAACAAAAACAGAAACTTAACAAACCAATGCCCCAAACAAAATTCATTATGTATTGTGAAGTCTTGTACAGCTAACCCATGTTTTGAAACAGATCTGCCTAGCCAAACAGATCTTTGGTCAAATAAAATAAAAGCAACCTAAAGACCCAGATACATCTCTGTGTTAAGCCACAAATTATGGGGTTATTGATATCACATAATTATTGTGATATGGATAAGTGAAAAAGTACTGCTACAATTCTTCCTGACTCAAAAATATGTTGATCTAAATTCATTGACTTATAAAAAAACTCAGAAGACTTTTGTTGCAAACTCAACATGAAGGTTTTACTAGACATTTGTCTATTTATAAATGTGCAGCTTCTAAATCTTTCCAAAAAACTTAAGAATCTATGATTATAGATCCCTCAGTGGGACACAAGGCCCTCACTACCACAACAGAAACCAAATTCCAGCTATTTATTTCTCTGTTGGCTTGCAGTTAGAATCTAGTTCTGTGACCTAAACCTGCCTTATAATAGGCATCCATTAATGACCCACCAATAAAATCTAACTTGCCAATTAGCTAAGTAAATGAAATTTTCTTGGAATAAATCAAGCCTGTACACTTAGGTCTATGGTTTCCTTTACCCTAGAGTAGCAGAGGAGACTAGTTGAAAAGGAAAGTACATAGCCTTCAGAGAACAAAATATTTGCTAACTATACCATAAGAGAAAAAAAAATCAAACCTCTGCCTTATCAGATGCATTTTTGTGAGTGACACAAAAAAGATGTGATCATTTATATTTTATTGTCAAAGATAGTTGCAAGCTATGTTCAGTGGCAATGGTTCTCCTGGTGTAACGGCAGACCATGGCCATGACACCAATTATTAATTCAGATTTGCCTTGTGTCTTGATGCTGGATATGATTCTGGATGCCTAGCTTTATTAAAAACCTGGCTCTAGGGCTTTCCCATTGATTCCATGAGGTACTTAATGTTTTTCTAGTCAATTATATAATTCTACCTAAGATAATCAGTATTACCTGTTTGTTAGTTGTAGGTCAGAACCTTGAATGGTCCATATACTTCGATTTACTCCCAAGCATGAGTAACATGTTTTCATTCTGTTCCTAGGGATCTTGTTCTTGCCTACTACCTTTCCTCATATCAAGCAACTATTATTTTAGTGGATGAATGTCCATTTTCTCTCGGAGACTGGAAAGTTCTTTAAAGCAGAGACTGACTCTAATTCATCTCTCTGTGGTGATAAGGAAAATTTGAAATAATGTAAAGATGACTTAACAGGTATCAAGATGTTAGAGCCATATGACTATTATTTTCCTAATCAATATAGCCAGAACCCTTTAATTGATATTAAGCATAAGCAATCCAGGAAGCCCTGTGCATGCATTCTGTCAATTAATCCTCATAACAATCCAATGATTTAGGTACTATTCTTATACAGTTTATAGATGAGAAGTGTATAGAGCAAAAGAGTCAGGGGACTTGCACAAGAACACATTACTGGTCTGTCACAAAGCCAGGATCCCAAAAGAGGTTTAACTCTAAAGTTTCTGCTTTTAAGCAATTACTTAAAGCAGTTTTATCTGAGAAAAGAAAAACCATATACAATCAATAAGTTCCTCACTAATTCCTAAAGAAGGCCAGTTGGAGTAAAATTAGAAATCTCTTCTGGCCTCTGGACAAGAAAAGAGTGAATTTACTGTGTTTAGCAACACTTCCCTTTGTCACAAATATGAAAGGTCTATATTTGGAGTAGCAATCAGAGATAAATTTGGAATGCTGAAAGTATACTATGTATCAGTGGAAGATTAAGTTAGTCTTTTGCATTATATAAATAGTGTTGTTCAATTTCTTTTTGTTTTCTTTGAGATAGGGTCTTGCTATGTATCCCAGGTGATCTCCAACTTGTGATCCTCCTGCCTCAGACTCCTGAGTTGTTGAAATTACAGGTGTGTGCTATCACATTCTGCTCTGAGTTTCATTTCTTCACATCAAGACATATTTCTGACACCGTGGGACCAATTGTTTTCAGGTAAGTAGAGATAAATCTGTTAGAACATCCAGGGGTTAATACCCTCAGGTTTCTAGGAGAAGCTTGAATCCAGACTCAGAATGCCTTCTTTATACTAAGTACAATGTTAGACTTGAGTATATCACACAAAACAAAATATTACCCTGGACTTTAAAGAGTTTGTTGAAAGAGGCAAAAAGTAAACAAATTGAGTATTGTTAAATTGGAGGAGTAGATCACATTGAAGAATATACTCTACATGGTAGGCACCAAGTCTGGAAACACTTGTAAAAATGATTTATTGACATTACATTACATTAAATGGTAAAATAATATCCAAGTTTCCAAACATCATGATCCATTAAGAGTTTTGGATTTTAAGAAGGATATAACATCCCAGTTGAGACCAGAAGCACAGGTAAGCCAGACATAACACAAAAGACTTGAGGATTGCAATTCAATTTAATATTGTTAGAGCAGTATTTGGAATGATTGTAGGGTAAGCAACAAGTGATAAACATTGACAGTGACCAGATGAGCAGGGGACATGTGAAGGCTTTTTACATCCAATTAATGGATTTGTATTTCATTCTCAGGGAAATGAGATTATAGTACAAAAGCTCTGACTCCTGAGAAAAACAAATGTAGATGAAAGATAATTGGAACAAAATAAGGACACACACAGCTGAAAACTGGAAATAATGCTAGAAGTATGTGTTTCAAAGCCAAATATAGTAAACTAAGAAGTAAAATGGATGTAATGATGTTTAGAAATGAACAGATGTGAGAAATATTAAAATTATCAAACAAATTATTTGATTTCCTCTGGGAATAATGAAGAATACTGCCGTCAGACTATAGAACTTTGAAATAAATTGTTTTAAGCTTTTAGAAATCTTTACCACTTTTAACCTAAAATTGTAAGTAAACAAAAACAAAAACCATGTTCTACCTTCTTGTGATGCAAGGCTAAAGAATGTATATGAAGTTTCCCCTGCCAATTAAGACAAAAACTAAATTTTTAAAATAAGGCAATCACTAAAAATGACTTTAAATCAAACTAACAAATTTTCCATTGCAAAATAAAATATATATAGCATCAACCACCAAAATAGAAATGAAATGAAAAATCAATGTTTGTTGATAAGTTATATTTAAACTTATTAATCTAAGTATCAAATCACCATTAATATGCAGAAGGGAGATTTGAACAAAGATGCATATTTTATATTGTATAACTATATATACCACATGAATTAAATGACCAAACTGGCTTTGACAATTTTAGAGAATAATGTAATGCTCCAACATAATGTTAATTTCAGTAGAGAATAATTTCTGGAATTCAGTTCATTATTCTGAACTAGTCATTATTATATATTCTTACTATAGTTACCTTTTGCTAATGATAATACTTCTTCCTCTCTTTTTTCCATTAAGAGTATCAAAATGAATTCTATAGTTCCCTGAAAACAGATGTAATTATTCAATAAAATGTAAGTATTACCTACCCTTGTCGGTCCTTGTATAGTTTGTTAACTTTTTCCCATTGAAAATCCATCTGTGAGAGAGCTTCCTGTAGCTTTGCCCTTTCCACAGGTGTGGCACTTTGCAATGCTGCTGTCTTCTTGTTGTAAATAACATCAATGCGACCTGAGATTTGTTGCAGACTGTCTTTTATATTCTGTAATACAGAAATTTTAAAACAAGTAAAAATAAATCAACTTTCCATGGAAAGAGAATAAAGAAACAGCACTAGAAGGAACTGCCTCAAAATTGTTTTTATAAAAAAATTGTTAGCATATTTTAACTGTACAAAATAATGGTTTTATAAGCATTATTGACTTATTGCAGTTATTAAGCCAATGACTTTAACATGACTAATTCCAATGGGTAACATATAATTGTAAACCTGGTCTAGTTGATCACTCTCTGTACCTTAAAATTGCCTGTATGTAACCTGAGCTCTCCTGGTTTTTGGGTTACTTTCATGCCTATTGCTTCTTAGTCTCCTTTATTGTATCTTTACTCTATTATTGCTGTCAGTATTGGAGTGTTCTAGCTCCATGTTTTCATTTCTTTTCATCACTGTCCATGCTACCTCCCATTTGTTCATATATCCTCTATAAGATAAGGATACCCAAACTTATATTCCAAGCACAGATCTTTCCTCTGAACTCGAGAATAACAAACCCAAGTACATTCTTGACACTAGGATTCCTTATCAGCACCTCAAACTTAATATGGCCCAGACAAAATTCTGAACTGCATCTCCCTAAACTTTCCTCTTCTTATATTATCCCACATTTCACTGAATGACAAGGTAATAATTACTCAGGTTGGTAACCTTGGAATCATACTTGACTTTTTCAAACTCTAATATTCAAATCATGGCACAATCTTATTGACTACTTTCAGAATATATCCAGAATTAAACAGTTTTGTACTACCTCCTTTGCTACAATTCTAATATTGTCATTGTCTCTCACTTACTGTAACAGCTATCTCAATGTCCCATTTTCTCCTCTTTCCAAGTCAATTATACACAAAACAGTCAGCTTCTTTAAAACAGAAATTGTTTCATATTAACCTCCAATTGCTCCTTATCAAACCCATACTGGTTACTATGACCTGTAACTTCATTGCATACTACCTACCATACCAATATTATCTTTTCTTAGTCTCCCCTAAGACCACAGCACTTCAGCCTTATTAACTTCTTTGCATTCCTGCCTTCAGGTGCATGCAATTTTTTATGGGACTGGAGTTTGAACTCAGGGTTTCACACTTGCAAAGCAGGCATTCTACTGCTTGAGCTACACTTCTAGTCCAGCCTCTTTGCATTCTTGGCATATCATAAGCAGACTCTTGATTGAAGATTTTCATTTGCTATTCTCTCTTCTACAATTACCTTTTTTCATTGACATTTATATGGCTAGTTCCCTCACTTCATTTTCATCTTAGAGGAAGCATCTCTACTACATTCTTAAATAGTAGCCCTAACCTCTCTAATTTCCCTGAATTTTTCTTAGTTTTCTTCTTGGCACTATGCCTAACATTAAATTATATATCAAGTGATCTGTATATCCTAGTAGACTAAAGTTTGTGAGTACAGAGATGTTATCTGTTTTGCTCTGTGTTGGATATTCAGAGTTTGAACTACTGCATTGGTGCAGAGAGGTTTAAAAACTTATCTCTCTCAGATTCCTTTACTTATATTTCAACTTATATTCTAAGGACAGCAGACCTAGATAGTCCCCTGACCTTGGAGAGAATTTGTTTATATCCTAGAGCAGTCTCTCTCTCTCTCTCTCTCAACAGATTCATCAGCTGCTTTTATATAATCTCTTTGGGATTTCTCTTCTGGACTCACAGATAAATATCTGGCTCTGAGATGCTCTTGAGTAATTGATGACACATTCTCTGATTCAGATTTCTTATGCTTGTTATCTGGGTAAGCAAATATTGATATAATCCCTAATGTTTGTTGATAAAAGGAATGTGCTTGCCTACTTTCAGGTAAAAATGGGGAGGATTTTACCATGTATGAATTAGAGATTAGACTAGATAGGACTGGCCAGTGCTGACCTCATGGCTTCCCAGAAGATATACTCTGAAGAGAACTCCACATGTCTGAGTGTAGCTGTAGAGAAGGTAAGGGTAGTTCTCAGAGAGTTTTCTGTCTCATTCTGAGATTTCATGTCCATGGTGCATAAGGACTTACCTTAGGCAAGAACTAACCTGTAGAAGCAGTTGAAGTTATCAATTATGTCCAGAGGAAAAGACATTGGGAACTCAAAAAATGAGAACAAATGTGTTCTCAGGTCTTACATATCAGTTCAGAGAGAGGATAGAATATTATGGGTGATGTAGGTTAATTTCAGATAGAAGCTTTTGTATAATTTCAAGGTATTCCCTTCAGGTCTACATGCACCTTGTAAAAGGAAGGTCATTATTTCTTTGTTCATTATGTCAGTTTAACTCTGAGACAAAAGCATTTATGTGATAGGTCTGGTTTAGCTACAGGAGGGAAAGGAAGACATGGTAACAAAAATATCCCATGAGTTTTTTCATCTGGAGAAATGCAGATTAAAACTGTCCTCTAGCAGTTTTACATGCAGAATTGGTAATTGGGGAAATGTTTGTGTTTCAACAGCATGAGAGATTGTCAAATTGCTCGAAGAAGGCTTGCAGAATAAAATAGTGAGAAGAAAAGTTGCCTAAAGATGATTCCCTGTGCAAAGCAGGAGCAGAGGAAAGAAATGAATATGTCCAAAGATGAATTGTCATCAGACTTAGAAGGAGAACCACAAGAACAACATATTTGAAAATCAAGGAAATAAAGAATGTCAGAAAGGGAGAGGGAGTTGTCAAATGCCATCAAATGCAGGTCAAATGCAGCCATGGCCAAAAGTGAAAAGTCAGTTTGGCATTTTAGTATGTGATTGTTGATCTTATCAAGTACGAATTTAAAATGTTGGGTATGAAAAGTATAAATTTTGGTAAAACAAATTTTCACTGGTATGCTCTTTCACCAACTACATTGCAGTTTAATTTATTTGACATTTGACATGTTTTTTGAAGAAAAGTTTACTACTGATAAAATTGATGATACAGTAAAAATCTTTAAAAAGATAGAGTGGATTTGGTATCAGTTATCAATGCCCTAAAAGTCACTGGATTCAAGCATGTTCTAATACTCTTTCTTTACCTTAATCACCTGATAAAAAGTTACTACTATCTTTTAGTGGACAGTTAGGGCTGTCCCACTAGCCTTATGAAGTCAGGAGCCAGGAACCTCCACCAATATGATTTCTTTGCTGCTTCTATTAACTTCTCTGACCTGAGTAGCATGATTTCACCAGCTCTTAATCTGATTAAACTTCTGGTTTTGTAAGTCATGGACTCCATTTTTGCTTGGTTTCCAGTCTAATGACAAGGATTCAATACTTTGACAAGCTCTCTACTTATACCTAGCTCTGTACTGGCTGTATGAATCCTTAAAGTCACATTGGACAACCAGTTATATTTGTCTGTACATTGGAAGCACAAATGCTTAAAAATGTGTAGCTTTAAGTACCTATGGAGGGAAAATTCAGGGGAAGAGAGAAGGATCTTTGAAAAATTACTCAGTATGGGTTTTATGTGTGTGTTTGTGTGGGTGTACATGCATGTATTCACACATGTTCTCTGAGAATGTGAGCTTACAAGCTATTTGGTTTTAATTCAAGTCTCTGAAGAGCTCTCAATTCTGCAAAGCGTGGTAGAATTACTCAAAACCGAGTTGTGAATGGTTTTAGCAATGCTGGGCAGCATGATGCAAGCATAAGAAAACTTTTTATCTTAAATGAGAAAAGCAAAAAGCAAAAACTAGGGCAGGGGTTATCACACTCCCTGGATATCTAGATAATAGCTCTTTGGTGCATTCAGAGAACACTGTCAAAATTGGCTAGAGGCAGAATATCCTTTTTAAAGTCCCTTCACATATTCTTGTCCCCTAGGCATTGCAAACAGAAAAATGGTATATGTGCCAAAGAAAACTTTATACCACTTTCCATAGTTTAAAGTCAAAGATGAGGTCTCTTACAGCTTTTTACTCTTAGTTCTTCTAGAAATAAGTGATCTTTATAGTTTCTGACCCTCTAAAAATGAAACCATAGCCCCTGTAGTTGCTATGGTGATAGAAATATCCTTAGGATCACCATAGAACATAACATTTCCATTCCTCTCTCCAAATGGTTCCTTATCTAATCTGAAAATATAATGTCAAAATGATGAAGTATCCACTTTTTAGTCAACTCTCTTCTTAGTTTTGACACATCCTTATAAATTGACTTCTCATTCCCAGATTACAATTCTATAAGATCTTTGCTTTTATCCCACCCATCCTGCAAAAGGAATAATTAATTTCTAGAAGGCACTTGTACATGAAATTACATAATTTACAACCTTAACCTTTTAAAATGTAACATATCATTGCAACTGTGGGTATCAGTATTAAATTATTTAAGTAAGACCCCGATTAATACAATGAACAGGGAAAAATAGTGAAGTAACTCACAACTGGAAGATAAAATCCATATATTAAAATATGGAAAAAACCAAAAATCTATGTGCCATCCTGCTTTAATTCTTATTTCTATTTGAAAGCTTGCTGTTCACAAAATGGTTCATTGGAAACACAAACATAATATAGGCATTGATTCTGAGATATAAAAATATTTTAAATACTAGCATCTTTCAGAAGAAAATCTATTGTAAAGGAGATTTTTGCATAAATAATTTGAAGCTGAAAGTACTTATTTATTCAAGTATTGTGGAGTACATGTCTTCCACCAGCTCAAAAGAGAAACTAGAGACTGCAGACAATTTATCTAGGGAACCAAACAGTGACCTATTTGCTAACTAATCAAGTTTAGATAAAGGTCTCAAGTAACACTTAATTTAACTATGCTCTGTTCTCTATCATAAGGTGGTAGATTTTCATCCACCTTAGTTTTTCTTCCATTTAATGTAAAGTGACAGTAACTCCTTTGCTGTCAGAATGTTTCATTAAAGAGCCTGCCTTTGCCTAACTAAATGGTAAACCTATTTATATGAATGTCAAAGTAGATATTGTAGAAACCAAACAGGCCAAGTGTAGAGTAGAGGATAGTGATATGTGATAAATTGAACTTACTCTTA